TATCTATCAACGCATTCTGGTGGAGCCGCAGGCGGATATACAGACCCTGGCGCATCAGGTCTGGTCAAATCTCATTGAGCACGCTGGGTTGGGAGCACTACTGCACGCTGCCTGCCCGTATGTATCATCCTGGATATGCCTGGCCATGCAGCCGCCACGTCTCGCCTTTGATCCGGCCGTGCTCATCAGAGGAAGTGGTGGCGCCAGCGATGTAGCCGCCGTATCAGCGGGGAGTACCCGTCGCCGTAACCTGCGCATGGGCGACGATCTGGGTGGCGTTGCATTGGCTCACTCGAATGCCATGCAGAAGTTGTATTTGGGCGGCAGTGAGGCAACACCACTGGAGCTGCGTGAGGCGAACTTTATGCGCGCCCGCATCACGGCATCGCGAGCGTTGGGTGCTCTCTCGCATTACCTGGTGCAGCCGGCACCGGGCGTTCTCTATACACCGCAGATGGAGAGTCCCACAGATTGCTATACCAAGGTGCTGCTAGGCCACTTGAATGCCCATTCGGCGGTTCAGCGGATTGTGTGTGGCCTTATAATTGCATTCTGGGCACTCGAGGATGAGCCGGTGCGACCGGGACCTCCAAATCTGCAGGAGAAGCTGCATCAGTGTGTGTCAGAGTATTTTTATTATGACGAGGTGGCCACGTCGCTAACACGACTGCTGCAGGAGGCGCAGGACTTTATAGCAACGCTGAAGCAAAACAAGATACCCATTAACGACTTCAATAATGCGAAGATTCTTACGCTTGACCAGATCGAGGCAGTGGCCACCACACTCAGTGACAATCTGCGCAGCTATGCGCTCAAGCCAAAGGTGCTGGATACGCTCCTGGAGCGTAGGCGCAGCCTGCAGGCCTCGTATCAACAAACGACCAGTGAACAAGGCGCCTATCATGTCAGCGCCCAGGCAGCATTGGCCGGTGCTATTTGTGCGCTGCACTGTCTGCCAGACAAATTGAATCCTGTTGTCAAGCCGCTCATGGAGTCGATCAAGCGGGAACAGTGCGTCCCACTGCAGCAATTGTCTGCTGACTTTTTGGTGCATCTTATGGAACAAGTTTGTGATAGAAATCCTAGTCCCAATAGTAAAATTTTAAACAATCTGTGCACCCTGCTGCGTAGCGATACAGATCACACGCCGAAGCTGGTAAGTGAAAGTAGCTTGGAATACCCTGAAATACCATGCCTAATACAAATAACCATTTTTGTAGTTGATGCCGTCGCGTACGTTCCTAGCGACACGTTCCAGTACCTCTGTCAGTGTCCATGACACCTGCGACTATTATGGCATCCTGACGCTCAAGCAGCAACAGGCGACGGGTGGCAGCAGCGGCGGCGGCGGAGGCGGAGCAGGCACAAGAGCTGGCGGCACGGCTCTAATGCCAACGCCTAGGGGGCCCGGCAGACCGCCAGCAAGTGAAGCCTTGGCTGCTGCAGTAGCGGCTGCAGCTAGTAAAGAGATCAGCACTCAACAGATCAAAGAGGCTGAGGCGCGACAGTGTCGCATACAGAGATTGGGCGCAGCTTGCGCCATTGCCAAGCTCTGCAGCTCATTTGGGGATCGCATTGTAGAGAAGGTGCCCATCTTTCAGCAGCTGATGTTTGGCAAACTGGAGCAGTTTGTCACCAGCATGGATGTAGAGAAGCTATCCAGTACGCTGCCTGAGCTGACGCCATGCAATGATCTGATTAGCTCGTTGCAACTAATCGAAACGGCAGCGCCGCATTTGCACGTGGCGCTACATGAACAGCTTTTTGCACTGCTGCCACACCTTGGCTTCATATTGCGGCATCCGTTGAAGGTATTGCGCCACATGGCAGCTCGTTGCTTTGCTGCCCTGGCTGAGATTGATGCGTGCCGTACCATGCAGTTTGTGGTAGCAGAGGTGCTTGGACTGCTACTCAAGATTGAGCGACCCATAGAACGGCAGGGAGCTGTGGAGGCCATTGAGCGAGTGGTTAATCGACTTCAAATCCGTGTTGTGCCATTTATTGTGCTACTCGTGGTGCCGCTGCTGGGCGCAATGAGCGATCCAGATGAATCAGTACGTCTGCTGGCCACCCACTCGTTTGCCACACTCATTCAACTGATGCCACTGGACGGTGCCGCCAATGCAAAGACAGCACCACAGCTCAAGGGCGAACCTTTAGAGGAACGCAAGACACGAGATCGTGAGTTCCTCGATTATCTGTTTGCGCCCAAGACGATACCGGACTATAATGTGCCAGTTGCGCTCAGTGTGGAGCTGCGCGGCTATCAACAGGCGGGCATCAACTGGCTGTGGTTCCTTAACAAGTATAATCTGCATGGCATTCTCTGCGATGACATGGGCCTGGGAAAGACGCTCCAAACCATCTGCATATTGGCCGGCGATCATGTGCAGCGCCAAAAGGCCAAGCTGGCCCCATTGCCCAGCCTAGTCATCTGTCCACCAACACTCACCGGTCACTGGGTGTATGAGGTGGAAAAGTTTCTGGCACAGTCACCAGTGTTAAAGCCCTTACACTATTTCGGTTTTCCCATTGGACGCGAGAAGCTACGCAGTCAAATTGGCACCAGTTGCAACCTGGTAGTCGCTTCCTACGATACCATACGTAAGGACATCGACTTTTTCAGTGGCATTCATTTCAACTACTGTGTGCTGGACGAGGGGCATATCATAAAGAATGGAAAGACAAAAAGTTCTAAGGCCATCAAGCAGCTAAAGGCCAACCATAGGCTAATCCTGTCAGGCACGCCCATACAGAACAATGTGCTGGAGCTATGGTCGCTGTTTGATTTCCTAATGCCTGGCTTTTTGGGAACCGAGAAACAGTTCATTCAACGTTATTCGCGACCCATTTTGGCCTCACGGGATGGCAAAAGCTCGCCCAAGGAGCAGGAGGCCGGTGTGCTGGCCATGGAAGCCCTGCACCGCCAAGTGCTGCCATTCCTACTGCGTCGCGTCAAAGAGGATGTGCTCACGGATCTCCCGCCCAAAATCACTCAGGATCTGCTATGCGAACTGAGTCCTCTGCAGTTGCGCCTCTACGAAGACTTTAGCAATAAACACTTGAAAGACTGTTTGGATAAGTTGGACGATACGGAGAATCTCGGTACCAAAACGCACATCTTCCAGGCACTACGTTATCTGCAGAACGTTTGTAATCATCCCAAGCTGGTGCTGCGTCAATCCGGCGATGAGCTGACCAATGTTGCTGCGCAGCTGGCACTCAGTAATAGCACCCTTGACGATATTGAGCACTCGGCCAAATTGCCAGCTCTTAAGTAAGTGTCTATCTTTAAGAATCGTTTTCGGAGGCTGCTAATCCTCCACTCTTTATCCTTATAGGCAACTGCTTTTAGACTGCGGCATTGGTGTCCAAACGGAGTCAGTCAGTCAGCATCGGGCGCTTATATTTTGTCAGCTGAAGGCCATGCTGGACATTGTGGAGCACGATCTGTTGCGCAAACATTTGCCCAGCGTTACGTATCTGCGCCTGGACGGCAGCGTGCCAGCCTCCTTGCGTCAGGACATTGTGAACAACTTCAACAGTGATCCCAGCATCGATGTGCTGCTACTAACCACTTTGGTAAGTTCATTTCCATTGGTTACCATACGCATCGTAACCTTAATGTTTTGCAGGTGGGCGGCTTGGGCCTAAATCTTACCGGTGCCGATACTGTCATCTTTGTGGAGCACGACTGGAATCCCATGAAGGATCTGCAGGCCATGGATCGTGCCCATCGTATTGGACAAAAGAAGGTGGTCAATGTATATCGCCTGATTACGCGCAACTCGCTCGAGGAGAAGATTATGAGCCTGCAAAAGTTTAAGATACTCACCGCCAATACGGTAGTGAGTGCCGACAATGCCTCACTTCAGACCATGGGCACCTCACAAATCTTCGATCTGTTTAATGGCGGAAATAAGGCCAGTAACAGCGGAGCAGCAGCAGCAACAGCCGCTGGTGGCAGTGGTGGCATGTCCATGAATACAATCATTGAGAATTTGCCGGAGCTTTGGTCCGAGCATCAGTATGAGGAGGAATACGATCTGGGCAACTTTGTGCAAGCCCTAAAGAAGTGAAGTCACCACTTTTTCCCCAATAAGACTTGGAACATTACAGTCTCACAAACTATACTTAAACACACAGACACACAAACTGCAATCGCGCATCGCTAAAGATGAGTCAAGTTCTCATTTTAATTTTGCAGGCACATGCTTCATTCTATTTTCTTTCGGATGTTTTCTTTCGGTCCTTCGTAGTAGTCGAAAGTAAACTTCTTTGCAATTTATAATAAAAACATTTAAAGTCTAAATTTTGTGCAAAAAAGTTTTAGTATGGGAGTCAGTAGATGAAAACACAGTGGTCCCTTAAAGGAAGGGAAAATTCTTCAAGCTGCGGTCAGGAAAAACGAGAACTATCTAAGGCACGACACGACGATCTTGGAACTCCTTTAAGGACCATCGAGTAAAGAACCATACTTTGAAAGCAACAGTTTCCGCCCATTTTGGTCTTGTGGTGAGAAGGTTGATGCCAAAAACTAAACTTCTGGTCATTGAGCTGTGGCCACATCTAAACAGTTTTCCACTCAGTTAACGCAGTTGCGACTTGAATCGATGAAACACGTATTCATTTAATTTCTACAGAGTGCTTTGAGGCCGATCGGACGCAACTACCACTTATACCCTTTTACCTGCAAGGAAAGAGACTTTAGGCTTTAGACTTTCTTAGGAACTATTCTGAGCCCGGAACATCACTCACCCAATCTTGGACTCCCATTTCCACCAAGGAGGAATGAATTTTCCAAAAAGTGTGATATACTTCTCAAATGAATTTGGACAAAGATCTGTGAAAACGTGTTTAAGTTCGATTGTTACCATCCCCGATGTTTCCACAATTGTGAACAGAATTTTCTACATCCCGACTTGCCCGACTTAGCTTACACCTTCATCACATAAAGTAACTCGGCTTTAGTCAGACAATTTTATATATAGAAATAAAGATACTGATTTCAATTTGATTTTATTCACTATAGTTATAAAGCCTTTCCGAGTCTGTTTTGTCACATTTAACGGGAAAACCGAATGGAATAGATATGTAGAGTAAAAATGTCATTACTTAGTCAATTAATGGAAACCATGCATGCGGCGTTGGTCAGATATGTCACTTAACCATTCCTTTTTACTCTTCTAACGAGGATAAATGATTACCCTGCCGGCGGCAGAGATACATACGCGAAATACGCTGCCATCCACTTGTCGCCTAAAACGTCTGCGTTGAATTCCACCCATTTCGATATGGTTGAGAACGAATTCGATTAGCATCGATGGGAGGCGTCGGTCCGGTGTGGTTACCCACCAATCTGTGGGTGCTACCACCCAATCCTCCTCTGCAGGTGTTTCGCAGATGGAACTGCTGTCCCATGTCGCGATTGATGCCTTATTCTGTACCATGCGCTTGTAACTATTGTCCTTGGGAATCGTCTCCTCTAGTGCCAACCAGCTGACGGCTCTTTTTTTTGCCAGATCCATTGCATTTGGACGAGACTCGATTCTGTCGCCTGCCTGCCAAGACCTACGTTCAAATGGCAACGGAAACAAACACAGATGGTTTGGGCCGACATGAAGCACCGCTCTGGTCCGACGCAAGAAATCCAAGCCTAAAAGAACGTCGTCCATCACGTTGGGCATCACCAGCGTCACAATATACGTGCGTGTTTGTCCCAGCAGTATCTCCACTGCCATCGCCTGCGATACGTTTGTATTTGAACCGTCAGCTAGGAGAATTTTAACTCCAACCTTTAGATGATTCGAATCTGTTTTGATCTGACTGGCGATGTCCGCGCTGATAATGCTTCGTGTCGATCCCGTGTCTATCGTGGCAACACGACGGCGTCCATTTATGACAATCAGCGCTGCGATTCGATCTCCATGCATTAGCAGGGTGTCCATAGCTCCTAGATTTTTTGCTAGGCGTTTTTTCGGAGGCTTCAGTTGGGGCCAATAGTTTGAGCTACAGAAAAGTAATTAATTATTACCTAATTCTACATATATATAGTGCTATGAAATGAGATAAATCATACTATACTATTTATATAAATAGCAGATTGTGAACATATTGGTTGCTTTTCGAAAAAATTTAAACAAATAATAGTGCTAAATTTAAAAGTATATATCCATGCATATATAATATAATATTTAATAGTTTTTATAGCTTAAAAACTGTCCGGAAGGCCCCACACAACTATTTCACCATGTCAAGCCGAATTGACCGACTTTCCACTAGCCTCTGCACATATCATACAAACTCACCACATATATACCTATGCATATTTAAGTATACTAATAAATTAGGTAACTTACAACATTTCCGTGAAGTAAGTTCTTAAGTGTGCTTTTCCGTGCTTTGTGATTTGTTCGACATTAAACGGCTGCCTGCATTTTGCTATGGTGAAAATATGTTTTGTCTAATTTCCCCACACTTCTGCTAGCAGCAATGCCGACATCGCTGACCATCGTACTACGCCATTTTGCATTAATGCTCAGCATCCATCGTTACATCTCATTTGTGATAATGCAAACGTGTTCCTTTTTGTTTTCATTTTCACTCACTATTTTATCCAGTTTTATCTTCCCTGCTGAGCTGGCTGCCGAGTTATTGTTGCTTATGAAAAGGTTCCTACGTCCTCTTTATACTTATGTCTTTATTTTTGCTACTAACATATCAATATGCCATTGATCCGCAAAGCTAGAAATTTAACGTTTTGTTCACCGTTTGAATTTGGTATCGACAGCTGTTTGCTTGCTGTGGTGGTTTGACGATAAGTTGGCAATCGAGAAATCCCGAAAATATAAAAATACCAAATTCGATTTACGTCGTAAATAACGTAATGAACCGAGCTCATGTCCACATTGAAGGCAAATATTCACTTTTTTAACTTATTTTAGTAGTAATTATTATGATATTCAAAGTAACAATTTAAATATTTGTATTATTATAGTAAAATGATTGATAAAGGAAAAACAAAACAATAATTAATTTGCTTTTCTAGCATTTGTAGCGTATTGAACACTTATTACTCGTAAGGCTCAGAATTATTATTTTCTATTTGCCAAAAAAAAAAAAACAGGTGAAGCGTACAATGTTATTTCAATAATTCAGTAGAGTGGGCGGAAATTATAAGTTTAAAAAAACATTTTTTCATTAACGTACATTTTTTTTATTATGCAGCCCAGAGCACATCTCACACGGAAATGTCAATGTAGCATTAAGTTAAGTTGACTTCAATTTGAAATCAGAACTATAGAAATTTTGCTAATAGTTTCACAGCAATTCATTGTATCCATTTAATAAAGTACAATCAAGACACTGCCCGCAGTTTCCCAAGTCAACTATTGGCTGTTCTAAATACGCATAATGGAAGTAAACGTATCAAAACATCACTAAACACGCAAAGGCAATTAAAATTGTTTTAAAACATGCAAACTCCTACAAGTAATACGCTCCTGCTACTCCAAACAGCGATCGGGGTGTTGGTTAACCAAGTTAAATAGCATACAAGCATGTTCTTCAGTCGAGAGTATACGACTGCTGTATACTCTATGTACAGTTGTGCACACATATGAGTACATTCTCGCTCTAGGAAGTGGGGAGCGTTCAAATAGTGGCAGCTTTCAGAGTATGTTCGATCTTTTCCCATTTGAGGAATGGGCAGTAGCTGTATTGCCCTCCAATTAATTGCATCAAACATGCTACAGTAGGGTGTCTTTCATTTATCCAAACACGAAATCTAATTCAATTAAGCAAAGTTAATAGCCTCTGCACAACATACGTCACCGTGAATGCAGCCATTGTATGTAATTGATCTTTGCCCACAGATTGCTCTCCGTGCTCTGGCAGTGGTCATTATGTGAGCGAGGCTTTTCAAATCGAATTGTAAGTTGAATGCGACCGAAGGATTATTCAGCTACAGCAACAGGCGTGCAGAAATGTCTGCTAGAGGCAGCTCGATCAAATATTTATCGAATTGGGTACTTTTTCTATACATGCACTAACAATAGTACATATATTATTAATATTAGATATTATTATTAATTGTAATCAGACTGCGGCTGGGACATTACTGAAAAGTTTTAAGATCTTCCTATAATTAAAGTATAAAAACAAGTAAGAGGTTCTAGTCGGGAGCTCCCGACTAGGGGATACCCTAATCCCTCTTCTTCCAACATCAAATGCAGATATATATTCTAATTTAGAAGCTATAGTTTGGTGACTCTAGCTCTTATTATTTACCAAAATTGCGCAAAATACAGGATATCGATATCAATTTCTATCGATTGCTTGGAAACGGAGTATGTTATCGATTATCGGAAACAAACTCCATCTGCGCAGGCACTAGGAGCACCTACATCTAAAATTTCAGGTCTCTAGCTGTTATAGGTTCTGAGAACCTTGCGTCATACATACGGACGGACAGACGGATAGCCAGACGGACATGGCTAGATCGACTCGGCTATTGATGCTGATCAAGAATATATATAGTTTATGGGTTCGGAGATGCTTCCTTCCGCCTGTTACATACATTTGGATTTTGCACAAATACCATATACCCTTATATCCATTTTTTATGGGTTCAGGGTATAATAACGTAAACACTTTTAAGTAGGATATGTAGGGGCGATATAAAGACAAAGTAAGATTGTTTTTAGTTCGTCCTACCCTCGCCGGAACACTAACGCAGCTCATCAACTGTGGACGGCATGCGCAACAGCTTAATTTACATGAATTTTACTTTTAAGTTTGTAATTGGCATATCATTTATAATAAATACCGCATAATCTAACGATAAAGTGATAAGGTAACCTAGACAAATGCCTTTATGCTACTCGCATTTATTTTAGTCAGATTGCGACACTTAAGCGTTGCATTAGCATCGACACCTGCGCATCGATCCGGTTATTGCCTTAACTTTGTTATGCGATTAAAAATAACCATGGCTTCGTCTTCAGAGGAAGCCGGGTAGGTTTAAAGACCTATCTCAAGTGAAAATAGCAAAGCACAAAAATGGCTACAGTAGTTAATGGCGATGGGTAATCATTGGTACTGTTATTTATACGTTGTAGTTAATTTCGCTTTTTAAGCATGATAACTGGATTCTATACGAATGCGTTTTACGGAATTTTCAATGTGCGCATATAATACAATAAATATGTACATGCATACATGCATACATTTATGCAAGCGTACTATGTGCATGGTTGAATTGCTGTTAAGCCATTTTTGGTATTTCTTACATATGTACGTGCACACATACATATACATATGTATGTATGTGTATATTTTTCGAGCTCCACTTGTCGTGCAAATATTTGGTACCGTTTGCAATACATACATACATACATACATATGCATATGCATACATACGAACATATTTTAAGTAGCATATGCATATATGTATGTGTGTATATACATAAATACAGGTGTTTAATGACAATCATGTGGCTGTGATTTATGCAAATGGTGCAGCATAACAGCAATAGCCAAACGCTTGGCAATTTTAAGAAAATGTAGCAAAGCATTAAAGAGATTGGCAGCAGCAGAATACGGACTCTGGTGCGCTGGCAACGCATAATGCAAGTAACCTGCCTTTCTGCAACTTCATTCATTTAATGCGGCAAAAGGTAGGACCACAGAGTTTAGCTAAAAATTTGGTCGACAGCGGAGAGAAGCAGTAGAAGAATAAAAAAAAGGGGGAAAAAAACACGCTAACCAATAAAACAATTGAGAAGCTGTAAAAACCACAACAAAGAAGAAGAAGTCCGAACTGGTTTTTAACACAACATAACTAAAACAAGTTGGAGCTGTTTATTGAATGTTAATTTAACAGACTCTGTTAACCGATTGGAGTTCGCATTTCATTGGCTTGCAGTACGCTGCACCTGCAGATCGCGATCGAATAAATACAGATATGCCAACAGTCCTCGACGTATGAATAGGGTTAGAGAAAATTTCAATATTTTATGGATGCTACCAAGTGCTAAGTGCTAATTAATCACACCTGTCTATTTCTTACATGAACTACATTTACTTTGCCAAGACACTTGTAATAGAATTATTATTATCAACTATTTCCAACAAATAGTAAACATATTTACATACACATGCGCATGTACATACTCATTTGTACATAATCCTTTTACTTGTATCACCAGCCAAACAAGTACCAAAACCAGTTTAACACACACAAACCAGATTTCTTAACCGTTTCGAACACAGCGCCCACTTGTTGCCGCGGTGCTGCCATGGTCGCCAAAGTCAGTTCCACGCCAGCTACCTGTGTCTTCAGGTGTTATAATCGTCGTGCGCGCTTACCTCAAACATTTAATACGAGCTTCGCGCTAGCCCCACCAGCTTAACTATGTGTGCACAAAACGAACTGTAAAACTAATAAAGAAAAAGCAATCTGGCATTCTGCAACAGCTCGTGGGATTATTAATCAACTGAAATACCTTCTAACTTTTGTGGTTTTCTCTGCAAAAGAAGGTCTTATATAAAAATCTGCAATGATGTGCTCATGTTTGTGAAATAATTTATAATTCAAGAAGTTGAAAAGGTAAAAGAGTCAAGTTAAAAGTGTGACTAGATGAAATCATCGGCCCGTTATTTGCACTTTAACAGATTATACTTTCTATTACCTATATGTCTATAGGTAAAAACCAAAATCCAAACAAACCTGTCAATGCGGGAAACGAAATGCAAAAATATATCAAAAGTGAAATCTTCGCATACCGAATCCAAAAGATCTGTAAATAAAATAAGCATCAAATATGAAAACGTCGGCTCAACTATATGCAAAATATACATCGTTCTAACCAAATAAATAATATCAGAATATTATAATAATTGCGTTGGCTTATAATGTGTCTGCACTCATGTATCTCGCAGATACGGCATTTCCGTCGATTATAATTACAGGACGTCTTGGGTTACTTGGTTGACCTCAATTTCGCTTGGGAAAAGCTATATTATGTTGGGGTTGGCAATTGGGGTCACGTGTGTTGGAGAGCGTTTGCAAATAAACTGCTGTCACATGGGGACTTAGAGAGTCGCCAGACGTACAACATCAACTTGCCACACTACTTTTACTGCCCGCAACCAGAGCCACAGCCACAGTCACAGCCACAGAGAGTATTGTTGTTGTGTTGCACGTTTCGCAGATTTTTGAGCAGGTTAAAATCATTTTTGGCCAACTGATGTGGGTGCCTGTGTATTTGTGTGTGTGTGTGTGTTTGATCGGCCATTGCCATGTTGGCAAAAGTGAAAACCTTAATCTATTCAAATCCTGAATGAATCGCCTGCCGGTGTGGTAATTTATACCATATATACCAGGTTGTTTAATACATTTTAACATTTTATTTTTGTGATAAAAGAAACTCTTATTTCTCTATCGGTTAACTGTGCTCATCCCACTTTAATATTGTAAGTAAAATCAAGTGAAAGTTGTCCTTATCGGCGTGAAAAACCTGATTTAAGTCAAACGCATAGTTTCATCAAAAATCCGTTTAAAATGTGCTCCATGTAGTTAAATTAAGATACATCCTGTGCATCTAACTCAGAAGTAACCCATGTGTAAATAAATAATAATAATATGATCAAGGCTTTGAGCAGAAACGAGCCTCAGCTTTTTTTTAAATCTATCATACATGCTTTGCCTGAAATTAAATATTCTTTGTGTTGTAAGTTCTTTAAATAACAACAATTAAACAAAGTT